GGAAAGTTGAAAGGTCCCAAGTTCAAGATGCCTGAGATGAACATCAAGGCCCCCAAGATCTCAATGCCAGATTTGGACCTTAATCTTAAAGGCCCTAAAGTGAAAGGGGAGGTGGATGTTTCACTTCCAAATGTAGAAGGTGATTTGAAAGGACCTACACTTGACATAACAGGCCCGAAATTAGACGTAGATGTTCCAGATATTGACATTCATGGCCCAGAAGGCAAATTAAAAGGTCCCAAACTGAAGATGCCTGAAATGCATGTAAACATGCCCAAGATCTCCATGCCAGAAATTGACTTGAATTTGAAGGGATCAAAGCTGAAGGGAGATGTTGATATCTCTGGGCCAAAACTGGAGGGTGACATTAAAGCTCCCAAACTGGATGTGAAAGGCCCAGAAGTAGACATTTCTGGTCCGAAGCTCAATATTGAAGGCAAGTCAAAGAAATCTCGTTTTAAACTTCCCAAATTTAATTTTTCGGGCTCCAAAGTTCAGACACCTGAGGTGGATATTAAAGCTAAAAAGCCAGATATTGATGTAACTGGCCCAAAAGTTGATCTTAATGCTCCTGAAGTTGAAGTTCAAGGAAAAGTGAAAGGATCTAAGTTTAAAATGCCTTTCCTGAGTATTTCATCTCCCAAAGTGTCTATGCCTGATGTGGAGTTAAATTTGAAAGGTCCTAAAGTCAAAGGAGATTTAGATGTTGCAGGTCCAACTTTAGAAGGAGAATTTAAAGGTCCCAAAGTGGATATTCAGGCACCAGATGTCCACCTTAATGCACCTGAAGTAGATGTTCATGGTCCAGATTTGAATGTGAAAATGCCCAAGATGAAAATGCCCAAATTTGGTGTTCCTGGCTTAAAAGCAGAAGGTCCAGAAATGGCTGTGGATCTACCAAAAGGAGACATCAACATAGAAGGTCCCACTCTGAATGTTGAGGGCCCAGAACTCAATGTGGAAGGTCCAGAAGGAAGCATAAAAGGTCCCAAATTCAAGATGCCTGACATGAACATAAAAGCTCCTAAGATCTCCATGCCTGACATTGACTTAAATCTGAAGGGTCCCAAGGTGAAAGGTGATATGGATATTTCTCCACCCAAACTTGAAGGGGATCTGAAAGGGCCAGAGGTTGATATCAAAGGCCCTAAAGTGGACATCAGTGCCCCAGAAGTGGATGTTCATGGTCCAGACTGGAACCTGAAGATGCCCAAGATGAAAATGCCCAAGTTTAGCATGCCCGGCTTCAAAGGAGAGGGTCCTGAAGTGGATGTGAACCTGCCTAAGGCTGACATTGACATTTCTGGCCCCAGTGTAGACATTGATGTCCCTGATGTCAACATTGAAGGTCCAGATGCAAAACTGAAGGGTCCCAAATTCAAGATGCCTGAGATGAACATCAAGGCCCCTAAGATCTCCATGCCTGACTTTGATCTAAACCTGAAGGGCCCCAAAATGAAGGGTGATGTGGATGTTTCTCTGCCAAAAGTGGAAGGTGATGTAAAGGGTCCCGAGGTGAACATTAAGGGCCCCAAAGTGGACATTGACACTCCTGATATTAATATAGAAGGCCCAGAGGGTAAATTGAAGGGACCCAAATTTAAGATGCCAGAAATGCATTTAAAGGCTCCCAAAATATCTATGCCTGACATTGACTTGAACATGAAGGGCCCCAAGATGAAGGGTGATGTGGATGCTTCTCTCCCCAAGATTGAAGGAGA